ACTTTTATATATTCTAATTTAAGTTAGAGAATTCACTTCTTCCATTCAATTGTTAACAGATAGATCAAGTGTGAAGAACAAGAAATAAATGAGAGTTCAAAACCAAAGATCCTTTATCCCTGAGACTATGCCACTACGGCCACTTAATGAGTAGATTTTTTAAAAATTGTGTCTATCTTTCACCTGATGTGATAAGCATTCTTGCTTATATCCAACTGGAATAGCAAGGTTTACCATACCTTTAAGTCATTCAATACATGTGTGACTCTGTTTCACCTTGAATCATTATATTTTGCTATTGAATTATTATTTGAATAAATGGACAATTTTTTTCACTAGCCACAAATCAAATTATTTAAATTCACAGAAGCAATTGGAAATTAAATGGCTTCACTGAGCAAATGCACAGGTCCTATGATCTGCATTTCCAGTTTCTGCGTTGATGTAGCTGTCCTGCCATTTAGATAAATTTGTTGCATGCATACACATGTACATATGTATGTGCGTGTGTATATGTGTACATGTCTTACTTAGTGGTGTTTGTGTTTACGTACGTGTGTGTACAATATTAGAGATTTGAATTAGTCCAGTGATTTGAAATTTTGAATTTAAAAGAGATCTCAGATTTTTCTGTGCCTGAAACTTAAATCTACTCACAGATTCTGTGGGAAAAATAAGCCTTTTGTTTGTCTACATTTCTTTACATGTACCATTTAGCACTCACTGTATGTTTGCTGTGCGTCAGGTCCTTTACTTAGTACTTTCCTTGGAATCTCCTATTTAGCCCTCAAAACTCTTTGGGATATGCACTGCTATTACCTATATTTCAACAATCAGGAAAACAAGCATTAGGGAGTTATTTGCATGCCAAAGCCCAACAGCTGTAAGAGTCAAAACTTTTCTTTGAATTCCACATATCTGACTTAAGAGCCCTCAGTTTTAACTGTTCGCTATTTGTTCTTTTTCTGACTAGTCTTTTTCCAAGTCATATTGTGAGTATTGATATAAACCCTTGTAATATCCACTAATTATTGACCTGTACTTGATGGGCAGCTTCTAATTTGCTTATTCCTTTGCTGGTGTGCTTTGGCAAAACATGGAATTTAGTAGCTAATCCCTGTTGGAGAATCAGAAGAGAGTACCCAGGAAACAGAATCTTACAAAACAGTAACAACCTCAACCCCCAAAAAAATTTTCAGAAAAGCCAACCAGAATGGTTTCCATACCATCCAACATTATTTATTGTTTTTCTTTACACTATGTATTAAACAGACTTGAAAAGTCTTCCAAAAGCAAAATTTTATTCTGGAAATGCAGATATTAAGTGATAATCTCAATTTACTGCAATTATATATTTCCATTTCCAATTTGCTTTTATGCAGTTAAGATTAAATTCCCCTAATTTGGTGATATATGAAAGGATGTTATGAACATACTATGATGGGGTGGGGAGGTGAACTTGTGTTTTGTACCTTCTTATACTCTTAAAGGGTCTAATTAGACTTATGACAAAGTACAAACTGAAAAGTTCTCTCATAGCAACTAATGCTTTTTAAAGCAAGATTCCTACAAATGAATGTCAAGAAATTTTTAAATAACATTTTTTCTCTACTGTATTTATCTGTTATTTGATGGTGGTAGAGTGTATCTTTTATATGGTTTGCAAAGTACATTCACTTATACATTATCTCATCTTATTTTCATTACTGCTCTGTTTCAAAAATGGTGTTTGTTAATTTTCACATCTTATTGATGAGGAAACTTCAGATAAAAGATTTTACAGGTGTCACAGCTAGTAAGTGGTTGATCCAGGAATAAATCATATTATAAATGTTTATTTATTAAATTTAATATGTTTTAAATTTCATGTGATAAAATTTACCTTTGAAGTTATATTTTAAATCTTAACATAAGTGAAAAGACTTAGTTGTTCACTATGCTTTTAATTTAAGGATCATGTGCTTTGCATTACAAAGTAAATATTACATAGTAATGTGAAATTATAAAGGTTACAAGATTTTTCCTTTCGTAGTGTTCCCAGCAAGAACACTTCTTGGTTTACATGTTCTGTGTTGATATAAGTGTGAATTATTTTTAATGATTAAAGCATTAATGATTTTTTTTTGCAAAAGGGAAAGAAATGAAACCATTATACGTAATGTGTTGTGTTCTTGAATTATTGATGAGTCTTCTAGCAGCCAAATAATAAACCGGTGAAATATCTGGCATTATAGCTTGTATATAACTTTCCCATGGGCTCAAGTTGCACAAACAGGATGCAGCCAGATTCATTAAAAAGCATATTTTGCAAATGTGTCTATCTTGAATTACTAGTGAATGTATTCAAGCACGGTGGAAATTTTGTCATTACATTGAATTGATGACAATAAATTAGGACTCATTTATTGTATTTTTTTAATAAAATCAGTGACTTAAGTTTCTGTGTGACTTGGTCGTTTTAGACCTTGCATTTCTCCTCTAATAATTGACATTTTGAATTTCAGTTCCAATAAAAATATAGCATCTTGGTCCTGAACAGAGCAGTTGCCTCTATGACCAACTGCCAAGCCTGTCGTTGCAGGAGCCTTACTGATTCACATACAATGTTAGTTCACTGGTGTGTTCCAGATTTATTAGTATTAATATTTTGATTTGAAGCTTGGTTGTATGTTGTTTTAGGATCTAGTCTGCCCTTTCCATCTTGTTAGAAGCAAAGATCTTAAGGAAATATTTGTATAGATTTTGGGAGGAACAGATGCACAAATTTGGGTTTACTATTGACCTTAGGACATATACTCAATTTGGTTCATAATGAAAATCCTGATGTTGTTAACAACAACAAAATTCCAATGGGTTCTTTAGAGATGCTTTCCTTGTTTCCTTAAAAGAACACCAGCAAGAAACCACTACAGGACATTACTCTCCCAGTTGCAGGTTCTCTGACACTGTCATCTCTTTTACACACTAGCTTCTCTTGCCAACTTCGAATCCTCCTGAATTACACTATGCTTTGTGCTTCTAGCACTCTTGGTGGTTATGGAGAAATGCCTTCTCTCTGGCCCAGAGTTCTTATAATCTAGTTTATGTTATAGACAAATTTTAGGAGACTATAAACTCCAAATAAAAATTTATAATTACTCAAGATAACACCATGTAAAGGACTTTGTAATGCTATTAAAAAAAAGAAAAAAACAACCTGATGTTTTATTCATTTTACCAGAAACTGACACCTTGGTTAATAGTTCTCTTTTACCCTGAACACAGTCATTTGTCATATTTTTCCTGAAATCCAGTCTCATAGAATATGTGGACCAGGAATAATTGGATAATCTCTCTGAGGCCTTATTTGAAGGCAGGTAAAGGGCAGACCTGACTTCAGATATCTCTTTTAACTTTGACATCAGTCATAAGGTCTACAGGAATCCCATTCCAAAACAGTCACACAAACCCAAGCAAGTAGTAACACATTACTTTGTCGTCATGCACCAATGTTAGCTGTGCTAGTGTTACCTAATCTAAGACTCCTTGTTTTGGTAATCATGGTCTTTTAAAGTCCTGAATTAATAGAAAAACTATGGAAACTCACATGGCACACATAACCTTAGATTTGTTATTGTGTCACTGCTTGCCCACCTGGTAGGACTAACACTGAGGTTGGCTGCAGCCTGGCACAAAGAGGCCCTTTGGACCACAATGTTTATGTCATAAAATTCCTCTCCTACAGTCATGTTTACAAAACAGCTTCCTACCTCCTATTTTCCTAACAATCTAGAGCCAACATGGCAAGGGGCTAGAAGTGTTCTCAGAAGCAGAGGGAACGTCTCTCATATCCAACCTTAAAGAGTTCAGCTATTTCTTGTACTTACTCAACATTTTACAGCAGAAAGAAATCCGCCAATGAGTACTAAGTGACTTCCAGAGAATCCCGAATTTTAACTGACATATTGGCATCGAAGATTGAATATGATCTTCCTTTCATGTACAGCACCCAGAGAGCTGGTGAACAGCACATTTACATATATTAACTAGAGGAAGGGTTCAGTTAACTATTTTAAGGTTAAAGAAGAAGGTAGTTTTGACTAATAAGGAATGACAGCCATAATAGGTCTAATCATGCAAAGGAAAGGCAGTGTTTCCTAAAGGTGACTTTGCTTTGGGACCCTGATGCCCAGGTGGAGAATCTGAGATGCTGTTGAAGGCCTTTCAGCCAATCACCTTTCAGACAGGCTGCGTGTCTCTTTGTGAGTACGTGACTGTTGTCAGATCAGAAAGCTGCATAAATACATTTTCACTTACAACAGAAGGAAGTGGCAGAGTGTCTTATGTGTCACACAGTCTTATGAAAGTAAATATAATGGTAGGGCCTTGAATAAAAGCAGAAGACCAATATACATGAGCTGCAAAGGTACCAAGGAAGCCAGGACAAGATGACAAGATAGTTCCCTAAAATAGGAAGTTTCATACAGAAAATCAATACTTTATTTACTTAACAATTTTCTCTAGGATTTCATTAAACATTTCTTGGAATATGTTTCTTTTGTGGAATTAGGACACAGACTTGATGTTTGTTCCCTGGCACAATTACGTCCGTACATGTATCTCTGATTTCTATAGTAAGATCTCTGAGCAAGGAACAGGAGACCAAAAGACCCCAGAAAATAGTTCTAACATTTGCGTCTTAAAATGCCAACGACGGGTACTGTCTACAATTCTCAGACAATGTGTGCTTCAATTATTACTCAATGTATATTATTATTTATAAGATGTAATTATCTTTATAAAATGAGTTTATTACTTATATTGCAGAGGCAATAAAACATCCCTCACTGTAAGATATGAAGAAATACAGGAATAGTTATTCTCATTGTAACTTCAAAAAGTAGTTTTCTTTAACCTTGTTCCCAAAGAGCACAGTTTGCATTTTCAGGTACTGTTCGTGTGCCTTTCTGCAGTGGAGACGGAGAGCATCATATGAACCTCGTATCTTCTTGTTTCAGTAGGGTCTTCATGCTTGTAACTATGTGTCCACAGCCAAAGCAAAGCAGACATTTAAGGTAATTACTTAGATAATTACGGGGAAAACCTCTCCACTTTGCTTTCACTCCAGTGGAGTCTTGGCTTCCAATCAAATGAGGGAAGCTGGGCACCCAAAAATGGATATTTACCTCTTCTGTTTTTTCTTCAGTGAGATTTTAAACTGCTGCTCCTTCTTCCATTTCCCCATAACATTTTGTAAAAATGGCAGACTGGGGTTTATTGTCATGGGTGGCAGGTCGAACCGAGCAGTTTTTGTCTTTTCTTAGCCCGGTTTCCATGCTCTGGTGTGTTCATTGGGATTATTACTAAAATTCTTTGAAAGTAGAATCTGGGGTTTAGCTTCTGTATGCCATATCATCTTGGTCTTTGTCTTAAAATATTTAAAATAATACACTGTAGAATGAAACTGAAACACAACACAATTTCAGAATATTTCCATTCTATTCCCATTGCACTAATTGCTGGTTGTGGTTTAACGTGTGGAACCTCGTGGGCCCCTGCCGAAGATCTGCTCCTGACACCTTACCTAACCCTCCAGATGTATCAGCTTTAACTAACACAGGTGATTTATTAGTACAGTGAAAGTTAAAGAGGGCAGGAAGGGACTAGGATTTGAATCTGATGCTGTGAGATTCCTGGTGTAGACAGAAGTAGTGGCTCATTTTTAGCCTTCACATATTAATAATTATGATCTAGAAAGAACAGCTTGCTTTTTGTCTTTTCTATTTCACATAAATACAAAATAATTGTTGGAAAAGCCTCATTTTGTAAATTCTTCTTTAAATAGGATGAATATGGCTTGAATCTAATTATGAGAATTAGATTTCTAAAAAAGTATTGTTAAATGAATTTCTTTATCCACAATTTGTTCCTTCCTTCCTTCATCATATACATAAGTGTATGCTATGTGCAAAGAACCATTAGAATCTTGAGGATACAGCTTCCCTGTGTGTAAGCTGTTTCTTTGTAAACACCATGCTTAACAATGTAAATAATTGGTAATAATTATTAATACTTCTGATAATTAAATATAATTTGATTGGTTACCACATTAATAACTGACAAGGAAGAGAAAGATATGAGTTGCCTTCAGGTCAGTTCTGAATCGCCTCAATGAACCTGAAAATGTCGTAGAACATTAGAGTGCGCAACCAAGTTGGAGAGCACAAACACTGGCCAAAGCTTTCCTTGAACCTCTCAAAACATGTTGAAGAAAGGTGTATGAAGCACGTAACCATTAAATGAAGGTGAAACCTAGATCTGTAGCCCTGATCTGGCTCTGACAGCCTTCACCCCCATCTTGCACCAAAGTTGATTGAACCATTCTTGCTGGCTGGCTCTGAGGTTTTCTTTTTTCACTGTTCAGATGTCACTTGGTTAAAGAAGGTGATATTACTTGACAGACTTTCTTTGCTCAATGACTGTGAGTATCTGTGTACCTTTCACAACTTAAATTGCCACACTTCTCCTTATTTCTCTTAAAAGTATTTTTAATTTTTCACTGGTGTCTTTTAAAAGGGCATGTGTATTGAACTAGAAAGTCAGGAATGTAGCTATCTGATAATCCTAGTTACGAGTGTTTGTATTTTAGGGTGAGTCTCTCTAGAAAATCTTTGAAGCTAGTATGCCTCTTAGTAGGCATCATGGATTTTGTAGGGGTAGTTCATTTAGAAGCTGGCATGCTAGTTCTCTTGGGGGCAGCTCACATCTCCTTTTGGGGAGGTGAAAGCAGTGCAGAGAACTCTTTCTCCTTTCCTCTGCTCCCAGAGAAGGTGAGTAGAGGAAGGGAACATACGTGGCCAGGTTTTTGGGGGGCATTCCCCTCCCAGCTGCTTGCAGTTCTTTCTGTCTAAAGTCAGACATGGAAGGACAACACTGGCCTTGTCTTAACTGAAGTGAAATGTACTAAAATCAAGATTAAGACTTGCTTCCTGGAAGCACTTCTCAGAGACCCTACAAGTGCCCAGAGAAAGAGTTCTGAGCTGACCTTTATCATTTGTTGGGCACAGACCTTTTAGGAGTTATCCCTCCTTTCACTCCTGAGCCCAGGAGGTTCGGGGTACTAAGAACTTCCTAGACAGGGGCAAACATGGCTTAGGAAGCTATGTTACACCTCAGACCCAAGGGCTGATGTACTTGGAGGCCAACAGTCTTCCTCGTGGCCGTGCTCTGCTGCCGGCCGTCTCACTCCACTCTCACACTATCCCCTGGAGGAAGCCAGGCCCTCACATCCTGCTGACGCTTCGCTGGGGAGGCTTGCCAAGCTCTTTTCATTCCTGAGTATTATTACACAAGTCTGTACCCAATTTTCAGTTTTCCCTGCCTCATTTCAAACACCGTTCCACAGCTGGGACTTCTGCTCTTTTCATCTGCACCCCTCATAACAGACACCATCCCTCAGTGTGAGTCTCTCTGCAAGGCAGACCACCCTCAGATCCCACCGGGTCTGCACAGGCCAGCAACTGACCGTCTGCCTTGCGACCTGCTTGGTGTGAATGGTTGTTCTCTCTGAAGCAAGACTGCCTTTTCTGCCTGCTATTGCAGGCGCTTTGTAGATCAGTTCTTTTACTCCACGATGCTACTTTTTTGACCCCCTTCTCTCATCAGCTCATTAACAAGGTGGCAAGCATAATTTTAGCCATTTAGATTGTAGCAATTTCCATTTAACCGGAGGCTGGGGAGGGAGGTGTTGATGTACATAAAAGGACTCCACCCGGCATCTGCTGCCTGGATATTTCCAGTTAAATACATCAATGCTTTATTTCCATTTTACACAAGATTGCGTATTCAGTGATCTCAAAATCTTTTTATTCTATTACAAGTATTTCTCCAGAATAACCCAGTGCTTTTTCATATTAGAAGGTGTTGGAGCTACTCTAAGTGGCTTATCTTCATGCATGTTCTCTAATTTCCATTAGGTGAAGGGCTTTCACAGCAAGAGTTATGTCTTTGATTAAAATGTATTTAGGGGGCCATTTTAAACAGAGTGCTTTTACCATATTTTAAAAAGAGCAATCCTTGGATTGTTTTGGATAGCAAAGCATTTGGAAATTTATCTAAGAGACCCCTAGATGAATTGCTTGGGAGAATACTTAAAGCAGTACTTGGCACGTTGACTTTAAGAATTTAGACCATGTTGGGGTTGGCATCAAAGTATGAGCTCTACCATTTATTAATCTTTTGCGTGACACATTCCTTGGGATTAGATTTAAGGTTGGAGTTTGCAATAAGAGTGTTACCTATCATTGGGCTTCTCTGTTAATCTGGACTTCAGAAATCAAGAAGGGCTATCAGGGGAAAGAAAAGTCTGAGATGAGACTAAAGAAATGAGCAGAGGTTAGCCAAACAAGAGTAGATGGGAAAGCACTACTTTGACGAGAATCAGAAAGGAAACAATATGCTCAAAGGCCCAGAAGCACTAGAGAAAAGGGAAGGGGAGCAAGAGACAGAAAGGGATGGACAGGAGACAGAGGTGGAATGAGACATTAACAAAACTCTTAGAAGTGCAGCCTTCAGAGCAGAGGGCTCACCTCCGGTGGCAAGAGAGGCTGAGCCACCTGTGCTAAGAGAGTTTGGCTTTCTTCAGAAGGCAGTATGGAGATTCTGAAGAATTTACAGAAGGAACGGCATGTAAATAGATTATATCGCTGAAGCTGTAGCATACAGAATAAATCAAAAGAGTGTGAAATTGGAGGAACACCATCTCATATTGGCTTGAGGAGTGGGTGGGTCATGAAAAGAGCAGCTCAGCCTGGAGACATACCTGATGAAAATCCCAGATGGAATACAGAGTATGATCTCTTGGCTGAAGCTCTCTGTCTTGGTGTGAAGGTTACTTAAACACAGAAGCGCTGTGACGTTGGTCTTTGTCCCTTACATGGAATTGTAATGTGTTGATTTTGGCTTGTTCTGGCCACATCTGCCAGGCATACAGGAATTGGGTGGGTTTCAGTCGGTCAGAATTTCCACTTGGTAATCAACAGTTTCTTTGGTGTGAATTTTACATAGAATACAATTGTAAGTTACTTAGAGAAACCTTGTGAATGGTGGGGGACATGGTGTTTTTATATTTTCCAACTCTGGTGTTTGTGTTTTCTTAAGCCTCTGGGTGACATCAGTTGACAAGAGCCAAATAAATTAATAAAAAAAGCACAGACTACTGCTCCTCTCAACAAATTTTTAGAAATTTGTTACCCCAAGCTCTTACTCCCCAGATGCTATGGAGACTGTCAGTTCCAGGTCTGCGTGGTGATTCAGTATATATTTCGGTTAGCATGGCAGGGCTATAAAACATACAGTGTGTTCCCCCAGTAAGCCCAGCAGTGAGACCAAGGCATTTTCTATGAAAACTGTTCCTTGGGCCAAGAATACTCCCTAAAGGACTCTTTGGCCATTTATAAATTTCTTTACATGGGCTCATTACATATGTACCCAGACAGCAATAATTCCGGGTGTGTGGCCGAGGTCAGAGCTCTGGGTACACGGGCATGTAATTCACCCTTCTTCTGGTCAGCAGCAGATATTAAGCACCTACTATGTCCCAGGTACAAGTGGCATGGTCAGAGCAGTAAACGAACCATCTCTTTTCATAGTCTGGGACTAAGGAGACAGAAAATAAGCACATAGGCAGAGGGTCAAATAGTAAAAAGCCAGTTATAAATATTTTAGTTTTTATGGGCCATATGGTTTCTGTCACAACTACTCAACTCTCTTGTTTTAGTACAAAAGCAGTCTTAGATAATATGTAAGGCTGTGCTATAGATTATAAAGATAATTAGCATGGCTGTGTTCCAGTAAAACTTTATTTATAAAAGTAGGATGAGGGCCAGATTTGTCCTGGGGGTCATATTTTGCTCACCCTTGACATAGATTAATAAATAAGCAAGCTGTTCCATGTGCTAATAAGGAAGAGGACAGAGCAGGGTGATGTGGGACAGAGACACCAGGTGCAGCTAGTGGGGCTGCTTCGGCTGCAATGGCTGGGAAGGCCTCTTCGCGACTGCGCTAAATCAGTGTC